GGAAACTATCGGGACACCATCCTTGATCAGCCTTAATCCTTGATGGGCCTTGATCCATGCCTCCCAAACACTACATCATCAAGCCCATCTTTAATCTAATTACACTCCGCCTGTAAAAAAACATAAACAAGAAACAAGAAACCCCTTTATAACACCAATGCCTGTGACAAATGGCCCGATGGCACCCAATGATAAAAACAGGTCCCACTGTCTCACCACTTCTTGAGCACTACGCCATTCTGCTCCCAAACAGCCCGGGGCTCCACACCGCGAAATGGAGGACAATCTGCGGGTCTCCCGAAGCCTCCTGGGCACCTCGGTTGTCATGCGGCGGAGCTGCCGGAGCTGCAGTGTGGTGGGGGAAGCGCATCCATCCATCCATCCATCCATCCTGGATGAGGCTCCGGAAAAAGCCTATCCATCCATCCTTGAGGCAGGCCTTCTGATATGATTTGGTAATGCTGACGCTGGGTTCGGCAAACGAATTTCACCATGTTCCTTAACCCACCGGTGCCCTGCGTCCCCATGGCTCCCCCATAGGGGTCCCCCATGGGCTTCCTGGACATTGAGGAAGAGTCGCCATAGAAGTCATTCACATCCGTGACCTCAACTCTCAGACTCAAAAAGCCGTTCCATCGAAAGCACTCCGTGGAAAGATGAGGTTTCGAAGTGGAACATGAAGATTCTTCCAGATCCGACGAATGAGGTGCCCTCCGGGTCATAGTGTGGCAACTCACGTGGTGGTTCATCCACGTCAGAACCTGCCTCACCGCATCCCTATGGCCCATGTCTGGGTGTTTTTGGACGGGTCTCCTGCCTCACTCTGCGAACAAGATAGACTAAAGGCAGCTACATAACCGTATTACTGCATATATCAAAATAGCATAAGGTATCACAAGAAAGAAATACGAGTAGAAATGAGTAGAAATAGATTGGGTTCTGGGGGTGCATGCACCGTCAAAAAGAACCGTGTCCAAGACCTTGGATCTTATTTGACAAGAAATGAACGCACGATCCTCGTCTTCCTCAGCTGTAATTTCTGGTGCCGATGTACGGCATATTATGGCATCTTCGATGTGAAGAAACATGCGGATAAACAAACACACTTGAACAATGTACAAGCACACTTCCCCAATCTATTTAACATCACAACCACCTGGTAGGGGAAATAGTCTTCCACACCTATGTTGTTGCAGTGGGCACCAGAAAGGTGTTTGAGAAACGGTCCAGTACATGTCTGACTTGGAACGTTCTAACGTCTTTGGGACCCGTAACAACCTAGTGAAGCACCAGCACATGCCACTGACCTTGCAGGGTACATCAACTGACCTTGCAGGGTTTGCGGGGAATGCTTCTACTGGAGGATGACGCCCTTCAGGTGTGGCACTCCACTTTGTACTTCCATCCGAGCGCGCAAGCGGCGCGCAGGCGGCGCTCCCACGCGGAACACGCTCCCAAGCGGAAATCCGAGCGGAACGCCCCCCCAACGCGGAGCCGTTCGTCGACGAGCGACGAAGAGGTGGATCTCTCGGATTTCGGAGCGCTTCTCCAGGATCTGGGCAGCGCCGGTCGGGCGTCACCCTAGGCTGGCGACCGACTGGCGCCCTGGAAAACCATGATTATACTGAATCATGGAAACTCTTGGCGTTGCTGTCGATACATTGATAACATGAAATTCCCTGCACAACTCTGACGATGTTCCTTCTCCAAAGGCCATGGCCCAAACCCTTTCTCCCCGAATGCCGCCACCGATGTGTTCTTCGCCGCGGCCTCCCGTCGCAGGAAGGGCAACAGCTGCTTTCGCTCGGCGAAGCGCCCAGCGAAGGGCACGTTGATGCGCCTGGGAACGACCGCGGTGCGGGACCATCTTAACTGCTATATTGCTATGGCACTTGCCATGGCACTTGCTATATTGCTGATATTGTCAGCTATGGCCATATCATTATTTTCCTAATCCATTCATTCCTATGCCGACGTGCAGCCGCAACTTTCAGCCTGAGCCCGTGGCAAGCGCCCATTGTCATGGGTCACACTCGAGAAAGTCCCCTAGCAACGAAGATCTCCGGCCCCCGGTCAACGACCACCTATATATATATATATATACACACCACATACCAGTTTTCAGAACTCAATTGCACATGCTTCATCATGATTCATCATCATGATCCTATATGGTTTAACCAAGTGAATGACCTTGTTGACCATGATTCATTCACCAAGTGAACGACACTGTTGACATTCTATGACCTTCCATGCCTATGCGACCTAACAAACACACACACAGCACAGCACACGGGACCCGTTTTCGGAGCCCGATGGAGCGAAAGGGAGTGTGAGAAGACCAGCGTTCAAGCGATCAGCTGCAGTCGATACGTATGCGGCCAGGGCCTATCCTATAACCAAGTAACAGTGGATGATGATTGTTATTTATCATATTGGTTGGGAATAGTAAGGGCCTTTCTCAAAAATAGTGCTAATATATGATAATATTTTTCCGACTGCTCTGTTACTGGCAATGGGTATATGACAATGTATTACCAGTACATAGTGGGACACTCAGCTGCATGCAAAAAATGAAAACCAAAGTGCTCTGAAATAGATCTTCAACAGTTGTAGAACTGGTATACATCCTAGAATGAACAAACAAAACATATCGAAACTATATAAGTCCAATTTGTTTGTATAAGAACAACGGCGGCCAAACAAATTGACAACGGATTGCCGCCAACGGCCGCCCAGTAACAGGGGCATTGCTGGCCTCCTCCTCAAGTCTGGAGAGCATTGCCTCATACCTCGTCCGTCATAACTGCAGTGGTTCATCATGGCTCCTTCCTTGGGGACCCTGACCCCGGAATAACTATTTCAGGGAGCGGCCAAGGTTCATCCTTAGCTGTAGGCGCTCGTAGCCTTTTGTTTTTCAGAACTCCTCGGCGAAGAACTCCCAAAGCGTAACTCCCAGATCGGCAAGCCGAGCGCAGTCATAGCATTTCTTGGGGAAAGTCTCTTTATGTAAATCCACCGCATAAAAGATATACCAACAGTCTGCTACAGAGTTGTGCGCGCACACACACATGTATACTACTCAAATCTACTCAAGAGTACTGTTATTACTCTCCTGGACACTGCCATCATTGGCTGTTCGATTGCAACATACCCAAACCTACCAACTGCACTAAGAAGGCTGTTCCAAATGAAAGTTCACAACTGAAACCTTCCTCCACTCTCATCCTCATCTCAAGAAACCACAAGAACCCCTTTTCTACACCGGGTGACGCCATGTTCTGCTGCTCTTCAGTGCAAAAGCCATAGTCGAAGCAGCTCCCCTTCTGCTCATTCCTTGAACCAGCGCTGGTCTCACAGTCAGGATCAGTGAGGCCTTTGTTGCCTGGAGATGAGCACTATATATATATATACAGTACTATATGCAGTATTAATATATATATATATATACATACACACACACACATATAATAATATATATATATATAAACATAGCTCATCTATCAAAGCCAGTAGGAGTCAGTTGATCGCTTACCAATGCCGCCACCCAAAGCTATGTATCTCTTTTGGGGCGCCTGTGATTGGAGAGGCAACCATGACTACACAGAGTCGCCGACCATGACTACTAAACCGTAGTGCTACCGTAGTGATTGGGTGGAACTCGTCCCGATCCAGCCTCCGACTCAGCCGAGCGCCCACCCACTCGTCCACCGTCCGCCCAGTCGAGCCACGAGTGATTCTGGTAGCCTTGCCACGCTTGAGGATACGGAGGTGCAGTCGAATACCTCGGTGGAGCGTCCTCGTCTTGCAAAATCAGGCGATCTGTCGATGATCTGTCGACACACGAAGGACCACAAGAGTCAGAGTGAAAGGACCGCAATCGCAGCTTTTCTATGTGAGCATGAGTCAACCCATCCAGCAAGCACCAAAATAAGTGTCGACCGAATTGAAATCAACCGCCAAAATGCATTCCCAAGCATAACCTGCCAAGTGACCCATGGTTCCATTGCGCCTGCAACCCAAGAAGGCTGCCGCCCAAAAAGGCGTGTGATGTACTGTGTTTGATCCGTGTTTGCGTGTCTTTTGGTACAGAACTTTATGGCCCCCCCCACTAACAGTCGATTGAGTAGATTGATTTGTCACGTGAATCAGACATGGTTGTCAAAAACTCCATGTAGGAAGGTACAAGTACCTGGTTCAAAGTTCAAAGATCCGTGGCTCTGCCCCTCCCACATAGTCGCACCCCGAGCACCGCACCTGACTCTGCGCCCAGTGCGGCTGCATGGCTGCGCACGAGGAGCGAAGCAAGCGGACCAGCACCAGAGTCGGGGGAAGATCTATGTGTTCCACGGGTGTCTGTCAGTTGGCCTCAACTGATGTCGAGTCCCTTCTTCAGAGGGGTTGTGATCAGATGATCCGACTTGGCACCAGTCTCAGGAGAGTCTAATTATATAATGTGGCTTGCACGATCTGATCATATACGGTAGGATTCATGTGGCCTTGCTGCGTGCCTTGCTTCCTGTTCGTGTGCTTGTTTTGTGGTTCAATGCCAAGGCTTGACTTCAAAAACCTGTCCTGCCATAGGCTTCTGAGAGGCTTCTGTGTGCTCAGGCTTCTGACAGGGACTCGTCTCCCGTTCTCTGAGCCCGCTGGAGCCAAACATGCCAAGCACAAAACCCTACCTTTTGGCCTGTCCATCCAGAGACAGCTAACGTATTTTGCCCAGCGTCCCAAGCAGCCAGTTCAGCAAGTGTCCAAATGACATGAAGAGATTCTTGAGAAGAGTTATGTGTCAGGGCATGATCGAGTTGTTCAGGGCTAATCCTTGAGAAAATGACATATATGAGTTGTTCAGCTCATGTCTGAACATCGGGGCTGACCAAAACCTGGCAAATGAGGTGGATCTGTCCTTCGGAAGATCTCTCTGTCTGAAAATGTACGACATGTAGGGATTTGTTTGATGCCTGCAAACGCAGCGGAGTCCCAACTGGGCCCCCCACGTGCTCTGGATCCAAGGTATGGGTTTCACTGGTGACGAAGCCCTGCAGCAGAGACGCGTCCCGAGCAGAACCCGAGACTGAGTGAGATGTGGCGAGTGAGTGAGGTGTGGAGGTATGACAGGATTCGCCACATCTCACTATATATTGTTAATTATTGTTACGTTCGTAGCGTCCTTGTTACTAGAAGCGATGCACTTGTTCCTAGTAGCGAACCTAGTAACAGTCATGTAGGAGCCCCTATGACAGTACCACTTTGATGAAAGGCAAACACATCATGACTCCTTTACCTGGGCCTTGTCATCAATCTAAAGGTCACCAACATGCTTGCGTCACACCCAACAGAAACAAAAAGCAACATGGCGCAAGGCAAATAACCACCTCACTGCGAATCATATCCACAATCTGCTTCATATTCAAGCATCTGGTTCCTCTGCATGGTGAAGAAATATCGGCCAATGCCGCTGTTGCAAAATCTGCCGGTCAGCGGTCTCCTGCCTCTAACCGCTGCAGGATTTTGGCCAAGCTTTGCGTGTCCTGCGGCGGGCTTTTGGCGGAGCATATTTGCAGCCTGTACAGTATATAGAAGTGAGAAGCCGAGCGGTTGCAGCTGCAGTTGGATGATTTCAACACGAGGATCTGCATTCCAATCCCTTCATTAGAATCAAGGTGTTGGGTTCTCCATCCCTGCGCCCCCTCTCGTAGTTTCATCCGTTGTTCTGCTGACCGGTCGACACATTCGACGTGGTTCAGCGCATCTTGAGACACAACCCCTGGGCACATTTGGGCGACTGCATTCGAACATGGGCACTTTCCAGCCCCTCTGCCATATATATGCCTACAGTGCAGCATATATCATATATGATACATGCATCTTTTATGCACATCATATGGTACTGCAACATCTTGGGCATTTCTGCTTGTTGACATTGTCTAGATTCATCAAGGTCATTGTCTAGAACATATCTTAGTATGGCATATCCACGTGTTTTCAGACGGCTTTGTCCAGCTGTCTCCCACTCCTGTGCCAGCAAACCCGGTTTTGGCCTGGTGATAGGGCGTCTGGACCCGTCCCTCCGCGAATTGGTCACACAAACGGATTTCAAGGTGAACCACACCCATATCCTAAGGTAGTTCCAAATCTTCGACATAGTGGGCCAAATCCAAATTTCTGGGAAACAACTCACAAATTGCTCCATCATCTTGGCACCAGTTGTGCCTGGATCTCCGGATCCCCAAGGCATAGGGGTCCGCGTTCGAGGAAACTGAACATGTAGCTGTTGCTTTTGTGGCTGACCATCAGTCAATTTGTTGATAGATCTTGGGGGGTGGATCTGTTGCTGTCCTAAGTATTCTATCCTCTTCACTATCCTCACACGTTTCATTCCTTATTTAGGTATGTTCCTTCGTTTCTTGGGTTGTTCCTACCAAGGTCCAATATCTTCATGTTGTTTCCGCTTGTCTAATTGGGCAGGGCTCAAGAATGGAACGACCGAACTTATTGACTGAATCTTGGCCCATAATTCCAAAGTCTCCCAGAAGGGTTGCCTTCGGAACGAACCATGCAACTGGAGGACAAAAATCACAACACAAAACCATCCTGGAGTAGATAGAACCAGAGAAGGAAACAACCAGAGGAAACAAATCAGTGATATCCAAATGAGGGGCCTCCAGATTGTCTTGCAGAGTCACGGCGGCTCAAGGGGGCTCGGGAGTGAGTGGTGCGCTCTGGACAGAACACATGTCAGTGTCAAACATGTCGGACACAAGGTGACGGAGCTAAATGCCCAAACACATATCAAAACCGAATCCGGGCCATATTATCTGCCACAACACCGAGAAACATGCCAGGTTTGATGCGAGAGCACATGTCAGTGTCAGAAGTACTTGCAAGAATTCTCAGGACACATATCAAACTCCACGTCAGAACGCGTGCCAACAAGGATGTTAGAACACATGCCAGAACATTTATCAGCCTTTATGCAAATGATGTGTCAATACGTATACCAAACAACGCAAATGTCAGGCAGCACTTGTCAACTTGGGTGGAGATTGCTCGAAGTAAAGTACATGATTCTTACACATTCTACCTACTCCAGGATGTTTACACGTAGCTAGATCAAGTGCATGCGCGTGCAAACGAAGAAAGCATGATGAGCGAAGTGTTTCAGAATTTGGGGCTCTTCTTTAGAATGTAATGTTTTGTCCTCCAGTGTCATCACGTAATGATACGTAATGTGAATGGTGTCTCTAACCGCCATCTAACAACCACCCGAATCTATGCAAACAACCCGGGTCACCACCCGCGCACGGAGCTGCGAGGAGTCCGCGGTCCCCATATCCATTTGCCAATTACAGTGGACTAAACTGCTTCCAACTTTTGTCAATACAGGCCACATAGACTTTTACAAACTATAGACATCTATATAGACCGATTATATCAAACTACAAATAGACATCTATCATCTATAGACTATAGACCGACTACAGGCTGTCCCCTTCTGTCTCCAAGTCGCTGCAAGGCATCCTGCGCGTCGTCAAGAAACGCTCGGCGCGGTGGAGATGCGAAAGTCCCCCGCGATCGACCGGGCAACGGTCCGACACAGATCCCTTAGTGAGGCAGCATATATAGACTTGAAAAGCATTGAAGTCATGATGCAAGCATGATATAATATAGTGGATTGAGAGTAGATGGCACAAACCCCAAGAGGCGGTTTATATGGACTCCCCATCTTCGATCTGGAAGTTTTTTGAAGTTTTGATACGAGTTCAATAAAGGATTTTATATAAAACTTTGCTGGATGACTTTTTGGTTTTGAAGCTCTTCCCAGGTGACCCTATTTTGGACCCGCTGATTTCAGGGACCCCCTATTAGAAAAAATGCAACCGAGTTTCTCTTATTAGGCGGGGGGGGGGGGCCGTGTTTATTAATAGGTGGAAGGGATTACTCTGAAATGCCAGGGTGCACCCATGGGGTGTCCCGTGTTTTTCGGTCTCCGAGTGAAGCCGAGGCAACAGTATCAGGCTAGTTTTGGACCCTCCCCCCTCTAGCCAGGGATGATCACAAGCAAGATCTGTGTCAAGAACGGTGATACCAAATTCCCAACTCCACGGGTGCAGGACTGCACCTGCAACCGAAAAAAAACAGCCCCAAACAACTCTGGCCAGGCATGAACATCAGTTGCTGCATGAGCATCATCGTCTTCGCCATTGCGGCCATGTTGAACGCCATCGTGACGTCTCACCTCTCCGCAGCACTGCGCCATCTGCGCCTGGGTGTCGTAGAGCAAGGCGGCCGCAAAGTCGTCGAACGTCAGGTGGTCGCCGCCCGTGAAGGGCTTCTGGTCGCGTGGAGGTGTGCGGGGCATGTGGGTGGATGGCCCGAAGAAGGCACTACAAATAGGAGGTACATAGGAGCTTAACAAGGTCTAGTAGTGGGGTGGTGGGGGAACGGAGGTGATTTAGCGTGGTATGATGCAGGGTGATCACCTCCAAACATTTTTGTTGCATGAAGATTATATATGATTATATAGTGTTCTGGTGGCGGGGAACTCAACGGCTCCGTGTGCTTTGGTTCCGTTCACAATGGTTCCAGCGGAAACCATGTTTTTCGCCACTCGGGGGAAAGCCACGATCTTCTCAATCTTCTCACTTCCCTTCCAGTGATTTCGTGATTTCATGTGATTTCAAACATAACTCGTGTCAGTGAAGGGCATCCAGGGTTGTCTTGTTGTGTCTGTGATCTTCGCACCAAGCAGTCGAGTCAAGCATCAGTTTGTCCCTTCCACCTTCTGCCCCTAACTATCCTGGGCTCATGTATATAGGGGCCATCTTCCGCAGCATCCAGCTTCTTTGACCATGCGTGCCATTCCAAAAACCATCCAAAAAATCAATCCAAGAGCCCTGGGCCAAGTCAGTGGGCCTTAAATGAACACCCATTCCCTCCAGTTTGAACCTCGTACCCCGGTCCGCCTGGCCCTTGGGCGGATCCTGAATCAGGCTCCAAAGGCCCTGGGTCGTCGGAGCGATGACCGAGGAACAGCACGGTGTTCGAAGTGGCAAACCGATGAGAAAGCGGTTCACGGAGGTCAATGGGCTATACATATGCTATACCCAAACACGACGAATGGGACTGACATATTTACCGATCAGTTGGGATGGTTTGAGGGGTCAATATATGGCATACATGGAGTGTTTGGGATACCTACTCAATTGTCCTGGCCCTTCTTTTCAATGTCGGTAAAGTTTATTGCTTGACACATTGGAATCGGAATGAACCCGATTGATCCATTGATGGATCCACCGATTTAATCCTAAAACATGTTTGGATGTTTTGATGTTGGGTCTACCCAAATGCTGGAACGAGCCAATGCTTAAACTTTATAATCTTTATATATAGAGAGATGCCCATGGCCCAGTGAATTTCACGGGTGTAACATGCTGTCCATGCTGTTTCATTATGTTCATAGATTGGCATGGATTATTTGGGTATACATAACAGTCGATGATGATGGCTAGCAAAGGCCTTGCTGCCTTGCTCAAAAATGGGACACACCTGGACTGTAGATGGGCATGAAAAACAACCGAAGGCCGAAGGCCCTTTTTGCGTGAACTCCTCGGGGGTTCCTGCTGCGCTACGAGCGCCTCCATGTACATCTGGCCCTTCACAGATTGGTTTCGCATTTTGCCCAGCATCTCCACGAAGGCCTCGCGGGGGCAACAATACGAAGACCATGCCATGAAGGCTAGGAAGCTTAGAAGCCTTGGGTGTTCCATAAATGGTGCAACTCGGAGTCAATGTACACATTATATATGTACCAGCACCCTCCAACAGGTCACCACCTGCGACCATTGAGTCTGCAAAAGCCACCACAGGAGACCTGTAGAGTCGGGTGCTGGTATATATTATATATATACATTTATATACATGTCACCCGCAAACGGACTACATGGTATCTGATAATTGTTTCCAGGTGGGCGAGCAGTTCCCGAAGACCAACAAAAAGGTGCCATGGGGTTCCGTGCAGTCGAAATAGCAGGGGAGCATATAGAGTTGTATAATGTTGTATATAGTTTAAAACATATCAATTAACCATAATTAACCCTATTACCAGTAACAGTGGATGATGATGGTAATGGCCTAGTTCAAAAATAGTGCTCGTTTAATTACTAACTGTTACAGGCAATGGGACAGACCCAAGGATCGATTGTTGGGGGCCGAGCGCCGAACAAGTCCATGACGGGTTGGTCCACTTGGACGGCCTAGGGCCTAGGACTTCAGTTTCGACGGCCAGCCCAAAACTGTGAACACAAAGATTGTTGCCAAGATGCTCAACATCAACCACAGCATCACTGAGTGATGCCGTGGTTCTGCTTGAGCTGCTCTGCAATCTCGAGGAAGGGCTTGGTGCCAAAGGGTGGACCAAAAAAAAAAACACACACATCACAAGTGGGAAAGCAATCTACAAACTTATTGTCACCTGCAAGAAGGCTGCAAACACAATGAAGCCCTGCAGCTCTTCATCGCACAGCGGAAAGCGCCGCTGCACGCAGGAGCTGGCCGTTCGTACTCCCTCTGCATAGTCTCCGTCGCTCGGAATCTGATGATCACCAATCAAAAAAAGGCTGCACAAAGCCGAGGGTCAAGCACTCTCAATGTTCAAGGCATCCGAAGCCCTGAGAGTGCTGTGAAACCACTCCATCAAAGTCCACTAGCTTCATGGTGCGGGTTTTTGAGCAACTTCACGGCGTGCTATTCTGTCCCGTTTCAGCCCTGCTGCTGCAAGGTGCAGCATCCAATGATGTCTCTCATGAACTTTGCAATCCAAAGCAGTATTTGCAGCATGTGCCTGGGAGTGTACGTTCATAAACCTGCGTTCAGCAAGTGCTCAGGACGTCAATACTACCTCTTGTGATCTCTCATGGACGTGGTGCAACAACTCCAGAATGCCAACTGGTCGGGGTCATAAAGAACATGGTTGGCATTATGGCGAAATGGCGTCCAACTGGTTGGCCTTGACGAGAATGCCACTGGTTTTCAAGGGCGATGGAGCCGAATTAAGCCATAAGAAACAGTGCCCTGACTGGGCCCATGACCTTGGTCATGGACTGGTGGGCAACAGAACCAAAACATGTCGGTGCCCTTACTAAATTCGATTGATTGGTATGTGGGTGGGGGACAGTCCGAGAAGGAAGCTTCTTGATGAAATAACTTCATCAAGCATCGTCAAACAAGTCAATGCAAGCCCACCTGCCTCGGAGGTGATCCACCAGCGTCGCCGCAAACGGACGTGGAGAGGAACAACTCCTGGCTGGACAAAACGGTCAACTGTGCCAGCTGATCGACGGCGAGTTTGGACCGTCCCTCCAAAAAGAACGTCAAGTGGAATAACTCAACAAAAACATGTGCAAAAGTGTGAAAGACGTAAAGACTGGTGGGCAAAGACCCTTAACTACTGAAGATCCCTGAAGAACATATTCAATCATCAGCATTTCACCATCCAACACCCTTGTATAATTGGCCATCCGTGTCAACTCTCCCGAAATGATTGCATAAGCCTCTCAAAACAGTTTCCCTCTTTTCGGGGGAAGGTTGCTCAGCTTCCATGAGTTGTTTCTTTTTGCTCCCCCGGTGTCTATAGAACATGCCAAGAATCATGAGAGTGCAAAAGTTCCTGTTTGTAGGAACGTTTAGGCCCTCCCAACTTCCAAGAGGTCAAACTGTCCACTGCATGATGCATAGAGGGAGGACCAGTTAGCCATTGCAGGAGATTGCACGAGCCTGTGAGCCTCCTCGCTGTATGGAAGATGTGGAGACGATTGGATGTCTATGCCCCTGACACGGAACTGGAGCTCCTTATGCCCGTCTGGATTCCAGGTCAACCAGGGGAAAAACATGTTATAACATGTTTCATGGTGGATTGAGAGTAGATGGCGCAGACCCCAAGAGGTGGTTTATAATGGTTTACATATGTTTATATACACCCCAACCCATCCAGCCGTGGATGTGACGCTGTGGCGCGGCGGGTCATTTCCAACCCTCACAAGCCCTACCCCGATGCTGCCTGGTGAAGGCTTCTTGGGCTCTGGCGGAGGCCTGACAGCTAATTGCCACATTGGAGCAAGGCTCTCTGAGCAAGCCAAGCTATGCAGCTATGTATATAATCCCCAAAGCGACAAAGAACTGACCCCCTCCTAGCCGCAAAAGGTCAAGAATCCTTGTCGTCCAGGTATAGTTCCAGGTCCAGCTGGCAGGCTGGCAGGTGATTAGCAAAACTTCCAATTGCAACGACATCTTCCTGTCAAATGCTTTTCAATTGCTTTCAATAAGGTCTCTTGCGACTGCAGCCGTAGACCAGGCGGGGTCCCAACGGCATTCCTTGAAAGAACACAGTCCCATCCGCGGGTCGTTCCCATCCACCGAGGAAAAAACAAACAGCCAACCGCGCTGTGTCAGCCAGCCAAAGATGTGGCCGGACTCCTGCCTGGGCGGAGGAACCCGTGGCCAGTGTTCAGCTCGGAAGCTTGGTGCCTGGCGAAGCGGACCGGGTTCCGGTGAGAGAACATGGCAGGTTGTGGTAGGACAAGTGACGTTTTTCTCATTGCCCTCAGGAACCGTTGAGGGCTAAGAAAAGGCCAACAACTCAACTACAAGAACGACCAACGCGTGACCTGGTTGGGGGTTCACCCAATGAAGCGTGACCTCAAGAGACCATGTATGTCCCGAGAACTGCAGGGTTTGGTGCTTTATTCAAACCATGCATTCTTGCCTCTCATCCTTCCAATCAGGCTACTCAATTCATTGGTTGACCAATGCCGGAGTCCCAACAGGAACTTCCTTCTCGACCCATCATCCCCGGACGCCTTCTGCCCGCGCCCAGCCTCTCAACCCATCCCCACACAACGCCTTCGCGGCAGCTTGCAACTGCTCCTGCAACTCCTTGGGTGCTGCAGCAACTCCTTGGGTGCTCTGCTCTTGGAACTCCTTGGGTGCTGCGGCGGTTTTCTCCGCAGGTGGCTCCTGCGAACGCTTTGTGGCAGTTTCCTCCGCTCTTGGCTCCTTCTGCAGGTCCTGTCTTGCAGTGCTGTCCTGCAATGGCGGAAAGAACACCAACGGATCCTCAGGTTCTAAACTGGAGGATGTGGCGTGGGCCCAAGCTGTGGCACTCAAAATTGATAAGAAATTACAAAACATTACTCATAGACTCCATGTATGCCATATATGCCTACACTGGGGTGGTTTGGGGGGTCAATGTAGGCATATATGGCATACATGGAGTGTATGGTTATACAAGCCCGGATTTCACAGCCCAACACCTGACGTTCCAGTGGAAACATCCAGTGCGGTTTCGGGTGGCGATGGCACATAATCAATGCTGGTGCAAAGTCGGCTGGTCAATTGTTGTTGATATTTGATGATGTTGTGCGTCTGCTGATCCCAATTGGCTGCAAGCCCAATCAGAGCTAATTAGCACTCTTGGGGCGCCAGAATGTATGTTCTGAAGGCCCAGTACAAGTTGTATTGATCCAGTCTCCTTTTGAAATAAGTCTGCTCACCCTGCCTCCACCTGCCGTTCAAGTGGTTGATCGGCCTCAACGGTCTGCACCTGCAGTCTCTCCGAAAAGCGTCACTTGGTGTGTTGCAGCCTCGTGTGAGTCTACCGTTGACCAACGACACAGAAGTAACGCAATGATGTCAAATCCCAAATCATCCCAACCCCTCCCAAAGTCGCAAAGGCTACAGTGAGGTCGTCCACTTCCCCTATGCGTTGCATCCTCGCGACGTCCCAGTTCTGGACGGTGCTTCTTCACGACCCGAACGACTGCAGTTCTGCGGTTCGCCGTGCTCCGTCGATGGCCCGCCTTCGCGACGTCCAGGTCTGTGCGATTCATGCATCTCCAACACACCTGGTCCGTGCGTGCTACGCACGCGCGTTTTCGCGGCGGACTCGGAAACGAGGAGGCGCCGAAAGGCAGCCCGAAACCCGAAGGGTGGTGGTTGTTTGATCTGGCCATGTGGCATTTCAAGGACTCAGTACACACACAAAGCCCGTTTGACCTCTGCTTTTGATGGAAAAACATGGACCAAAACAAATAAAAACACATCTTGTGGGTGGTTGGGGGTCCCAAATCACGGTCTCAGGCTCATCGGTCTCTCCGGCCTATCACGTCGTATAAGAAAACCGTGTCCTCGTCCGGTGAAACCGCGTGGAAAAACATGGGTCATGGGTCGGAAACCTTCATGGCCGAACCTGGCTCGGCTCAAAGATCAAGAAAACCTACATCACCACTCAGAGGCTCCCGGGAATGTTTCACATATCGATGGCTTGGTGCACGATGTTCGTTCAAACCTTATCTACAAGGCCTCCTCCTTTGCAAACGCAGAGGTCTTCTGGGCAGTGGCAAACTAAGTTCACTCCAGCAAGAAAAAGCAACATAATGAGAGCCACCAAAGCTGACCCTGGCACCAGCACCACCACAAACCAATCAGAATGGAAGCAACCACCACACCAAACACATCCAAACGCCTGCCGCACAGGTGGAGATATCTAGAATTGTGACTTCCACTATGAGCCTGAGGCCAAGAATACATGATTTGTATTTTAGGTGTCGTCCTTCAAATGTTGCTTTATGAGATTCTAATGTTTTAGGGTGAGTATAATACTTGTTTTTAACGACCCTGGAAAAACAACAGTATCAACATGCCACGCCATGCACAAATCACAATTAATGGTATTCCAAAAAATATATAATAGAACATATATACAAAACAGCACATTAAACATGTGTTATTATTACAGGGCTATGCAAACATCATCACATACTTAAACCTATAGAAAAGTAATCATTGAACACATACGCACACACTATATATATATATACATACACATACATACGATACTTGCAAAACATCCTCCCGCCATAGAACTGGAACTCACAGACGCTTAGCTTCTGGCGGCAGCCCCGCACCCTCCAGGCCCTACGGCGACCGAAGCGTTTGGGGCGACCGCAGCGGTCGCTGCGTGAACAGCGCGCGTCAACATGGACTTAGGATTTCCATTGATTGCCTATGCTGAGGACGTTTTCTTTGGGAGGTCTTGTGTGGTGCTACAACAGCCAAAGTTCTACCACTTCAATGGGCCTCCTTGGCCAGGTCTGCAAAGTCGATACAAGCCGCTGGGCCTGACAGCGGAAAAGAATACGAGCGTCACCACTCGAACGTGGACAACCCAGCCAGAAACGCCGGGAAAAAAGGGGAAAGAAATGAATCCCGGTGGGTTTCCTTAAAACGCCTAGTGGGTGGTTTCCAATATGGATCTTGAAGGGAGTCGGTGTGCTTCACAGGTGCAAGCTTCAGAATACCCGGTTGTGCTCCTGGAAAGTACTATAATCATCCTGGAGTAGATAGAATGTGCTTTCGCAGGGGGTGTTTTTCTTTTTGAAAAAACGCAGGGTTTTTGACATCCCTTTCATTTTATGAAGACTGACCCTATATATAGATAGAATATAGTGATAAGATTCTTATCAAGGTGAAGAAATTGTCGTGGAACATATGACCTCGACTCGACTCGCTAGGTACCAGATTCGAGGAATACAATATTTACAACGTATGCCAGCCCTCTCTCACTAGCCCTCCTAAACCGGTGACGCCACGAAAACACAACATCACATGACAGTGATTATGATTCTATCAAAATGCAAGTGTATGACCATACTGCAGTCATCTCTTCGCCATGGAAATTCTCGTGTGTAACAAGTCCACAACGACAGCCTCCCGGCAGTGAACAGCTGAGATGGCTTCATTGTTACCATTGACATCCCCAGCCACACTCCATATATGGCACAACTGCAAGCATGCGTACAACATGCATAAAAGTAGCCCAATCAAGCTTTCCCCAAGCACACACCTTATCGGGCACAAGTTCTTGCCACTCGAGACAGGATAACCCGAGCACCCAGTATATATGCCATACTGCCATATGTATGAAACCTGGAAACACACACACACACACACCAATGTATGTCAATATGGCATCTGTGGAGCGTCTGGGATTTAAGAAGCACAAAGACCATCAATAAAGGGGAAGAATCGGGAAACTCCCTCGCCATGGGCAGTCAGCATTTCTTCCTGGTCCATCGGTCCACCTCGTGTTTTGTTCAGTCCATGAGCCCTGGGGGGGTCCCTTGGTTCCAGCACCCCTTGGATGTCCTTCAGTCTGTGGGAGCACATGGAGGCATCACATCTCCATCGTTCGCTTCATGTCATGGGGTCTGGGGTCACCACATGGCGGTTAAACATGCTGCAGCCCATGGCAGCTATGGCTCTTATTCGGGTGTCTTGGCAGCTTGAAGGGTCCGTAGCTGAGCTGGATGAAAAGATTGACCACCCCCAACGAGCCGGGAGGGCCTGTTGTCACCGAGCACTGAGGTGGAAAGGGGGACACCATTGATAGCAACAGCAAAACAAACAGGAGCGACTTCTGGTTCTTTTGAATGCCGGCAACATGTGTCTTCTCCCTCTCTCCATTCACATTTAGGTCTTCATGAATGCGTTCATTTGTTGAGGCTACGAAAGCTGCAAAAAGCTGCGGATCAAAATCATGTGAGGATTGGAGGAGCCTGCCGCTGGTGAAATGGCTCCGATTGATCAATGGTACATTGATGCATCACCTTCGTCACCTTAATCCTGCGAATGCCAGGTATAGTGCCAGGTATATGTTTACATATCAAACTTTGGTTTAACCAAGTCCAGGAAATCAGTGACCGCGCCGGCACCGGTCACGCGCACCTCACTCTTCTTTTGCTTCGCTGACCTTCTATCCGAATGGTTGGATCCCCTTCAGGATGCTGCCTCAGCTGCCTCAGGTGAGGAAAAACAACAAACCTCTAAAACCGCTTTCAACCCCGACATGTCCCTTGGTAATTCCCTTGAGTTTCATGCCTGAGACGTTTCGAGTCTATGATCGCCTGGATCTGTCATGACCATCTCGTTTGGACCCACAGGGGCCCCTCCAACCTCCAAGGGGTTCTTGCCCGACCCCGAAGCTCCTGGTTTTCCAGGGCTTGCTTCGGACAAACGTGCCGTGCTCTGGTCATCTTTGTTTGCACCAAAGTTGAAAAAAGGATTCAACCTGATTCAATGATTCAACCTGGTAATCTAATTGCCTGGTAATCTAATCTAGCGTTCAATGATTCAACCTGCTCATCTGTTCATTGTTCCATTCGTTTGAGTGAGAATTTGTGCACTCTGTCAAAGAAGTTGTGATGGCTCCAAGAGAAACCTGCGGGGTGGAACATGGGCTGCACCATATTGCCACAATTGGGAAAGCATTTGGGAAAGTAGGTTTTCTATGAGGACGAGCCATTCAGCCTGGATGCATCCGTAACGCGCACGAAAAGGTGGTCCTTCATGTTCTCAACACTCCCCGGGTGTTGCCTCTTAGTTCAAGAGTGGGCCTGCATCTCTGGAATGCTCCAGGTCTCACCGGATTCTCGGTGTTTTCGCTCCTGGACTCGAACATGAGTGGATCCTCAAGGCCAAACCCGATTGAAGCTGGCTTCCCCCACCAGTCAAGAAATGTATCCGACTATAGAAATCAGAGCTGGTAATTGAAAAGACCATTTTGACAGGAAAAACAGTTGGTATTCGTCAAGGAGAAACTAAGCATGTTACCTGCATTCAAACACCCACTTGCTCTTCCTCCTCCCAACATCCCTGCTTTTTTCATGGGGTTACCCCCTGCCCACCCTGTTGAGACCACACGAACATACCGCCACTTCGTTGCACCCCGGGCGCAGCCAGGAGCAAGGCGGATTTGATCTCTCGAACCTGGCAGAGCGCTACGGTACTTCCGATGCATCCGGCGACTCTTTTTTGGCCAGCATCGCGTCGCATGTAAGTTCTTCAATCCAAGCATTGTAACGCCTCCCTAATTATCTGGAGATGTCAGAACATGTTGCGAATGTTGGTACGGAGAAATCTGGATAATATGGAGAGCTCCACAAATTATGTATGCCTGCATGCAGCTATAATTTTTCCAAAGACAAAGTCTTCAACAATTTCAACAGCTAGCAAGTGGGGCAACTCTGCTGCCTACACAAGTTACCTTCACTGCTGCATCTGATGGGTGAATCATGAAAAGCATATAAAAGCATATTGAAAAGCCTATTGGGTCGAACCAGAAGCGTTTCCTTCCCTCAAACTGCGACCGTTTCCTTCGACCGTTTCCTTCGTGTGCGCCACTGGTTGGTTCCCTTCGTCCCAGTCCTGGCTGAGTGGAGCCGAGCGGTCCAGGAAGGCGCTCACTTGCACCGAGTCCTCAGCGACCTGAGTCACGAGCCCCGTTCGGAGCCGTGCGCTGCGGCCGCCAAAACGCTCCGAAAGGCCGAGAACCGAGGCCGGTTGGGGTTCGGTGCGGCGGGAGGGTGGTGATCCCAACTTGCTGCCGGGGGGACCACGTCCACATCGGTAGTTTTTTGGAATGGAAGTGAGTGGACGTCCACATTCTGTAGAGGAAAAGGGTCAGAAATCGGGGTCAACGTCTACCAACGTCTACGTCAAGGATTCTTCCAGGGAGTGTAGAACAAAGTGGAAAAGGTGGATCCCCTGGAAACATCTGAGTCTTGAATGTCCTTCGGTCCCACTCATGGGGAAACTTGGACTGCTCGAACGGCTCTCAGAAACAACACAGGTCTCAACAAACATCTTCGAAAGTGGAAAGTCTGCACAGAACTGGATGATACATTGTCTGTTGCCCGGTTGCCCGATGCATCATTCAGAAGGTTGTATGGGTTGGGTATATCCCATTCCCTGTAACAGTGGATGATGATGGTTAGGTCACAGGCCTGGCCTTTCCCCCCAAAAAATATATGTTCTTGTTTCCCAACTGTTGCAGAGTAAACCTGGGACACCCCCAACCACCCAAGCATGTATGGTCTATGAACATTCCACACCTCGGAAACCGGATTTGAGTGGACAGTGGATGAGGCCGATGAGTCGTCCTTTTAGGAGGGGATTGCACGACGCTCCACGTGGGAACCTGGGAAGCTCCATGACAGCAGTGTTGGATAGATGGATTCCTCAACTGTTTCATCCACTGTAAGGCAAAGGTCAAAAAGGGAAGAGGACATCACATTCGCACCCCACGGGGCATGGGATGGTTTTGGAAAAGATGTGGTTGCGGGATCCGTTGGTCCCGTCTTTGTTTTGTTGAAGGGTTGATGGAGGGCTCGAGCTCTTCTCCGCAGACTGACGACCGAGCATCGCTGCTGGTCTGCTGAACCAAAGACATGTCACTACCGACACGGGGGCACGCTGTCAACTCCCATGCTGGCATCTAGTTGCATGCAACAGTTTCTTTTCGCACCTAGTTGCATGCATGCCAAATCCATCCAAATCCCTGAGGGCTGGAAGCCTGAATGGCCTGGATTGTTACGAAGCCGGGCGACATGCACCTGTGGCTGCAAAGGTGGGCGCTGGAGCAAGCCCACCTGCTGCTTCAGGGAAGCTCCTCAGCGGTGGACTGATAGACGGCTCTGAAGAAATTCGGGAACCTGTGAAACCACTATTCCAACAAGGGGGATCATCTATCCCTTTGCATGTTTTTGGGCTGCCAGGGGTTTATTAAGTTCCTGCTATTTCTTTGTTCTGTGGGGGTGCCATCCACTTGGCTGGATGTTCTTGCTTTCATATTGCTCGCCTATAGTTTTCTGATCCGACATAGAAGTTGCAAAGTGGGGGGTAGGATGAATCTCTCTCACACATTCGGCCAAGGATTTCCAGCACTACAGTGTAGTGAAGATCTTGAAACAACCCGAACTCCTGACCATGTATGAGACCATCAACTGCCCTACTTGCCTTTTACTCTGGAGAAAAATACCGGCATACCGGCATACCCTCCAGGCATCTCCAGGCCCGATTCTTGCCAAAAGCAGTCTTCAGGCTTCAGGAATTCTTTGCACCACTTTCCGGACGCCTCTCTCTCTCTCTCTCTCCAAGTTGCTCAAGGGACCTGAAAGCTGCTGCTTTGCACCGCTCAAGGTGACCCTCAACGGCCGGAGTTCGCCTCGAACTCATCTAGCGAGGTGGAAGACAGTGGTCCATCCAAAGAAACCCCTCTGAGGAGGGCTGGAAAGGTGATGTCACAGTCAAATAATTACTATACATTGTTGCTTAATTATAGAATCTCTCACTTATTGATTTACTCTTCCAGGAATGTAGGTCATTCCATTTACAGTACCCTCCATCCAACAAACATGGAACTTGGAAGACTGTTTTCCTCTACGAACAGGCTGTATTCCACTTTCATGCTTGTTTCAGTGAAGTCCTGAGTAGATTTCCATAAGTCCTGAGTCTATGGAGTGCTGCACAAATTCTCACCTCGGCTAGCGCCCTTCAACTCAGCAGCTGGCACCTGCCGGGTGGCGGCGATTCTTCACTGAATGTGCTGAATCCTGCAAGCAGTGTCTTGCAACCACAATGCCCTGCTCCACAACCCACATAATTCTCTACAGTTCTCTTTGTTGCTTGGATGGGGGGGGTGCAACATGTTCATTGGGTGAACAATCCCGTACCCCCTGGACTCACTCCCCAACGTGGTGAAACACCAGCGTCACAGGAACCAGAATATGGGAAGAATTCCTGCAAAAAAGACCAAAATGAATACTGTCCCTCTATCTCTCCCTTGTTTTCACTCTTTCTTCAGGTCGGCACGTTGACCACCGCAGCACGGCCTCCACTTCCTCTGGTGCTCCAAACGGCCGCAGCACCGCCCGCGGCCCGCGAAAGCGCAGAAGCCGCGCGGGCACCACGCGCGTGGAATCGGCCGGGAAGCGGATCCAGAAGCTGGAAGAGCTCGAGAAGACACAAGCGAGTCGGTGTAGCCAATTCTTGGGATGGTAGACACGGCTGTCGGAGGACTCGTTCGATTCACTTGAAGGAATTGAACGACAGGAACGAGTAGTGGTGAGACTATTGGTGCTACGACAAGGATTACGTTATGGGCTTTTGGGATCCTCTCAGCACAGGCTCCACAAGTTCAGCAAAACCATGGTTCCATTTCAACATATTTCAACTACACAAGTGATGGCAACCATAGCTCACAGGATGTCTGTGACAAGTGGGAGCTAACACACTTTTATTCTAAATGATGGCGTGGTTACATTTTGGTGCATGAGGGGCTGGGGTTCTGTCCCAGGAAACGAGATTGGATGGTGATAAAGCATCCCATCGGAAAAACGCGACAAACAGCCCCCTAACTCTGAAAAGATTCTCTGGCGAGAAAGCATGGCAGCGCCAGCACGGCCAGCAGCACACCAACTGTGATGCTAGTCGCTCCAGGTGTTGCCCCAAAAGGCCCAGCACTGGAAGGTCCTGGAGATCCCACGGCCAGCAGAATACATCGTGCCAGTGCTGCGCCACAGGTCCCCACAGTGATGGCTTTGCCTGGGACCGGTCACTCCAGACCCAAGGAGAAGCCATTCAGTCCGGTAGACACAAACATCCCCTGGACCCGTTTACACCCACATCGCTTGCCAGAGTCTATGTGCTGGTTATGCTGGTAACGTATATAAGGGGCAAAACAATGACCTGTGGCTCGGCCTACCTGCTTGACCATCCACACTATCCCACACTATCCCAGCCGCTTGGACACATCAATGATGTTTGCATCGTCTAGCAGTATGGCGCTGTCGGTTGGAGTGCGCACCCGGTCTCCGTTCCGCTCAGTCTCCGCTTGGAAAGCCAACGCACAACAAAAACACCAAGACCACGGACACCTCGTGTAGGGGTGGTTTGGCGTGCCACCAAATTGAGTAGATTGCGGATCATCATGGACACCTCCATCAGAGACTCTATCATCCCCTGTCCTTCCTCCAAGTTCAGCCCGATTCATGGTTGATTGAACTGGGTTGCTTTTCTTCCGGGACCGGCTGCCTTCCGACTCTGCTCCTCCCATGTTTCTTCAGCTAAGCTGCTCAAAGCTACCACTGGAGCCACCAGCTGCGGAGGCCTCCAAGGCAGCTGTCGCCGCAAGAACTTCGCAACCTCACAGGGTGGAACTGCCGTGGTTCACTGGTCGTAGAATTATAAAAAACTTTCATATGGTAAGGCCAGAATCCTTGATTTAAAAAAAAGTCAAAAAAAAAGTCAAAAAAAAGTCAACTGGAAAAGTCAAAGTCAAAAAAAAATCAAATTGAAAAGTCCAAAAAAAG